CTGCTCCTAGGGTCGCCCGTGCGCCTGTGGGAGAGGCTCCGACGGGGCCAAGCGGATGAGTTCTTGGAGCGGGCCCAACGGCCTTACTGGTCTTTCGGAAATGGAACTAGTTCGGAGGTCGCCATCTGGAAACAAAGCGTTCTCGCAGAACAGGCTTCTTCGACTGGGAAGGCCACCGCAGGTTTCATTTGGGATGGGATGAAATACTATGAGTCGTTTGTCATAGCTTGGCTCTGAGATCGAGCCGTCTACTGGGGCATCCCCATGGTCCTCATCAAGACCCTCTACCATCTATGGCGAGGGCCCCGCATACTCCGATTGGGCCCCAACTGCTCCCCTCTGGTGCTTTTTGCAGGCTCAGGCCTACCTGCGGGGGACATCTTTAACGACGTCTTCGTTAGAGCATATGCTATGTACGATTTCGACCAGTTCTCCCTCCGAAACCCGCAGGTATCGTTAGGCTCCTACATAGATGATGACACGGTAGTCGCGTATGGAGATGAGGACGAGATAGTGGCGAACCTAACCAAGGCAGGACACGACTTGAAAGTGTTTTGTTTTTTCGGAACGGCTGAACGTCCACCTAGCGGAGGACAAGGCTGTGACCTTCGCATCGTCGCAGAGTCTGGCGACAAGGCTCTCCAGGAGGCTGCGAGTGGCATGTCCGTCGGTGGCCGCGAATGCAGTAGTATCCCTTGGGACAGATTTAGCGCCAGGCCAGAGGAGAGGATGCAGAGGAGGACTACACAAGCGTCACCAACGATTACGAGCTATGCGTAAGAGGCACCGTTTTTTATCGTTCTACCGCAAACGACTACCACGGGACAAATCCATAATGTCTAAGATCTATGTGGCGGGAGTTCGTCCTGCAGCTGGCAACGGAGCCATGATTCTCGGTTTTGCGGATGGCGAACTACGGGCGCTTCAGAGTACTTTAATGGCGGGCCGCAGCCCAGCACACAAAGGAGCCTCCCTCACTGCTAAATTGGTATTGCATGGGGACCCAGCGTGGAAGCAGGCGGTTGCACCAGCGGCCCAATGGGCCTCGAGCGTTTGGAGGTCCATCACCCAGCCGCGTTCATCGCCTTTATCTTTTCGAGAACACATACAGATATGGCGGGACACGGTGGAAGCTCAACCCCTTGTCCTGGAACCTTCGGGCTGGAAGCTATCTCGGGGACCCATACACCGTATGTTGCTGAGCCTACACAGGATAGGGTGGACAGCCACAAGCTTCACAGTGTGGCGTGACGACCGAGGGTACATAATCGATCTCCTCTACACGGTGCCTGCGTTGGTCAATAAGCTGCTGCAGGAGGGAGTTCAAAGATCACATGAGCGCCGCATGGCGCAGGCGTTGCCAAAGTTCAGTGCAGACAGAGTAGCTTCGGACCCGCTCCAAAGAGTGATGCGGTCTAAGCGCACATCCCCGCGTGACAAACACTGGCTGAGTGCAGTTTTCACTGGGGCCTGTTGGACGGGAGACAGGCTGAGATCCTCGGGGTACGTTCACGACGGTTTGTGTCCGCTTTGTCGTCAGAGTCAGTTTTTCTGTGATAGTCCCGAGCCTCGAGCGGCTAGGCGGGAGCACCTGTCCGAAGATGAAATCGCTGAGGCGAGAGCGGCTACGCCCGACAGACTGCTGTTTTTGGTCTCGGTTGATAATGGCTCAGCCCAATTCCCCTCCTCCTTGTTTGGACCTCGACCCCGTGCTCCAGGGACCTGAAGGAGAGCCATTAACGATCGATGAGTTTTGTAGATTGACCCTCGACACGGAGATCGTGGTGGATGGGTCGGCCACCACAGGGGTTTTTAGAGAGCTCAATCGGGCCACCTATGCTGCAGGTTTCCTTGCCCCAGGCACGGACTACATAGTAAAAGCCCGCACTCTCGGCACGGTGTGGCCAGGCCTTCCCAGACGGCGCAGTCTGGAGAAAACCTGGGGCTGGCGACTCTCAGCTGCCTGGCCACGGGACGAAGTGAGGTGCACAGCGACTGTTTGGGGGCGGCGAGGTTGGCCTCCGCTAGCCCTGCCGCGCAGTTGGACCCCAACCAGACTTTTGCGGGCATCCGAAGAAGGGCCCTAGCAGAAGATGGCCAGGCTAGCATCATCTCGGTTTCACATGTGGCTGCGCATCGCTCTGTAGGAGTGATAGCAGCACTCCCACCGCACGAGCGAAAGATTGCCCTAGGCAACGCCGATGCGGGCAGATTGGCGAAGCATGCGCTGAGTTTTCACCCCAGTTTGGCCCCAGATGAGCTGGAGAGACTGGATCCAGATTTTGTCACACTGCGCAAGCTTGTCACAATGTTTGCGGCAGTGCTTTCCTGTTTCCCGAAGCTCGAGTTTCGTCGGGAAAAGACGGGCCCCAGGATGCCTCCCCCGCGTGCCCTGAGCTGGCACGAGTGGGTCATACTCGACCCTGGCGACGAGAGCTCCCAGGAAAGTGTGGCCCGCTGCAGCAAGTGCTTTAAGGTGTCATATG